GCACGTAACAGGCTCCACGATAAAAGACATGTGAAAAAAAGTTATAGGTCACGATTTTGGAATCAGCCGTGAAATAAGCCTAACGTCATAAATGATAAGCTTCCATGCAAATATTGATTGAAAATTTTTTTCACTTATCATAATTAATCAAAAGATAAGTAATCTAGTAACCATTTAGATCGGACTTAATTTATTTTTTAGATGATATATAATGTTATAAATTTTTAAAATTTACTTTAAATTTGAGTTGATAATTTTTTCAAAATTGATTTGATCTAAATTAAATTTTACTAATTTAGAATTTAGAATTTTTTATTTTTAATATTATTTTAATACATTTAAATATAAAATAATTATTTTTATTTTATAAAATTTAATAAATATAAATTAATAATAACATATAATTGGATTCGATTAAAAAGCTTTCAATTTTTTATTTTTTGATTTGAAATCTAATTTGAATTTAATAAAAATTTTTAATATCAAAATTTAAATTAAACTTAATGAAAAAATAAATCTAAATAAAATTGAACACCATAATTTTAAATTAATTTTTAATTTTTTTCAAATTTCTTCCACCCTTAATTAATGATATTTCACACAGTCGCTTTTGCCTGAATTAAAAGCTCATAAAAATTTGAGTTATGACAATTAATACATTAATTTTTGTTTTATATCATAATAAAGAAAATGCGGTGATTACAAATAAATGTAATTTTCATGAGGATGAATTATTACAAATTTCATTTGTTTCATTATTTATATTTATTATTAAAAATAGGTTTAGGACTTGATTCCTAAAATATCCTACTCATTGCTGCATTATGAAGTTCTCTTTTTCTTCTGCCCCCTTTGAAAAAAGACTGATGTACACAAAAGTGGCAGCAACAACATAACTTTGTGAAGAGTCAAGCCAAATTGTCTCTTTGTGATTGTCTTTTTGTCGCTAAGCAGCGGTGAATTATTAGTGATAAAGAATGTGACATAAAGCAGTTCCTGGTGCAGGTTGGCTATATTTATCTCAATCACCAGAAAGTCGTTAACTTTAAAAACAAAAAGGCAAATGACAAATAATTTAAATAATATGATTTATCTCAATCACCTTATACTTTAGTTTAGATATATTTTATATATATTCAGGTCCTATAAGGTTAAGTCATCTCATTCGGATTAAATTTGGGTTTAAATTATTTAAAGTTTTTATGTTATATCATCAAATTAATAATTTTAACAACCATACTAATAAATATGTTTAAAGTATTTTTTACGAAAATTTGTATAATCTTAACAAAGCATTTTAAGGATATTTGTTAACCAAATTGATCACATTCTCTTATATTGTTTAATAAGAAAGTATGTGGTATGAGGTGATTCATTTAAAAATCATTATGATTTGTATTTATTAGTTACATCATTTTATTTTATATTAATTTAGAAATGTTATATGATAGTGATTTTAAGAGATGTAATTTGATTTTTAACTTAAAAGATAGAAAAATTATATCGTCATAAAAAATTAATTTTTAATATTATTTTTTGATTAATTTATTTTCACAAAAAATATAATTAAAATTACTCTGAAGCTGGCTACTAAAAATTTAAAAAACTAATTTTTTAATCATTTATTCTTAAAAAAGGTTTTATATTATAAATTTATATCATTTGTAATGAAATTAACACGTATACACAGCATTCACACACAAAACAACAAACTCAAAATAAGAATAAGAACACACAAATATATTTGTTTTGACTTAATCCAAAATGACATTATCATGCTCCGAAATTAGGATGCAACACGGTTATATTATCTTAAAGTAAACCTCAAAATAATACGAAACCTTATTTTTTAATTATTCTAAAATTTTTTAATAAATTGATATAATCTGTCAAGTAAAATCTATATCTTTAATTTAACTAATGATACATCTTTATAAATCCAAATACAAACTATATAAAATACAAAATAGTTTTATAAGATTTCATTGGTCAACATTGTCTCTGATAACTAAGTAATCTTTCCCATTTGATTTTTTAACTTTCACAAAATTAAGCAAACTTATCACCTATTCATCTGTAAAAGAAAAGAAAATGAGGAGTGAGCAAATCACAACTCAATAAGTATATGCTTACACACCTTACCAGATCAAGTATCATTTTCATACATATCATATAGAGTATTTAAAATAGTCGTCAAATCATAATGTCAAAACATTTCAAGATTATCGTTCTGTCAAACATTTCGTAAATTCATAAATCAATATCAAAACATGTCAATTCATCAATCATAAATCACAAATCATGGTCAAATACATATTTCATACAAATCATGGATCAATGTTTAAAATCATCATAAATATCATCATCATAAATCATCATTATCATTCGTTTATCATTAGTTACGGTCACTGCTATAACCCATGACATTAACCATATTGACAATTTCATCCTCATGATCATTGCTAACTATTATAACTTGCTAGCTAAGACCTTACACTAATTATTATTACCCATTAGCCAGGGTCATATGATCATGTCTTTGCTAACTACTATTACTCATTAGCCAAGGTCTTAGAACTAGTTCTGGTGACAATGATCCCATTTTTCAAGGATGTAAAACGTAGCTATCATAAAATAGTTTATTAAATATAAATCATTTTCTCATTTCATTTATAAGCATGATCCATCATTTACATAGCAAAAATACAAAACACTCATATGCTTGATCTTATTTTCATATATCGAAAATAAAAAAATAAAACGTTTACTCATTTAGAAAACATATATATATATATATATACATAGGTTCGAAAATAAATAAAGTGTCTGAGATTCTATTTACCTCTTTTTTATTCTACTACTTAGTTTTTACTCTAAAAAAATTAATAGCCTATTCAAGATAATTTCAACATGACAATAATTAATCAACCTATTTGCGATCATTTATACAAAAATAACTAAGTTAAACAAGAAATAACTCAAGTAACTAATTCTGGCAGCTTGCACTACTTTCACTAAAACGACCATATCTCAAGATATCTAACTTGGAATTAAAATCTTTTTAATACGTTAGAAACTCGACTTGATAAAACTTTTTAACCATATATAGCCCATCTCGTAATTCCTTGTAGATTAATTATAATAATTTTTACAATCCACATCATATGCTGCTACAAGACAGCATGTATACTTTCTAATAAAAATTACACATTTATTCATAGGTTCAATTTTGTTTCTTTTGTTGGAAAGTAGATTCAATATGCTTTCAACATATATGGCTTAAACTATAATTCCTTTTATAAAAATTAAGATAATTTTCATAATTTAATCCTGATACTGCTATCTTATAACATGTATATCCTTAAATAAAAATTAGACAACTCTCCATAAAAAACTCGGATTTAACTTCTATTTGTTTCATCAAAAAGTAGATTCAACAAGGTTTCCGACAATATATAATACTTATAGTAATAATCTATCCATTAATACATAATTCTATTTTGATTTACTATTGCAGATAATAGCATCTCATCTAAAAATATAATTTTTTCTTTAATCCTTAAAAATTCAAATCCCCATTTTCAGCCTTTAAACTCCATTCAGTAATCATCAATAAATCTTAAGAATATGAAATAAACAAAGCTCAGTAATTTACCCAAATAGATCATGAAGATTAATAAAAGATTTCATAATTTTTTTTGATTTTGCTCTCAAAACTTTAACTCCATATAATAGCAATAAACATGATTTTTTTTTAAATAACAAGAAGGCATATACTCACATTTAGGGGATTAACTTGATTGTAGCCTCTGATTTTAAATCTCAAACTTGATTTTTTATGCTCTCTAACCCTAAGAAAGATGAGGAAAAAGAACTCCAATTTTTTTTTTGTTTCACTATAGCTAGGTTTTCTTTAATTTAATACCTCAACCATTTTTTTTATTAATTAATATCTTAATAAATTGATGGGCTTTAGTATTAGTCTAGTCTAATTATCATTTGGACCGAGGTATTACAGATTTACTCCAAATCCAATATACTAATAAATAAATAAATTATTACAATTGTGAAAGTTTTGAAATGAGAAAAGTTACTAAAAACTTATTACTCAAAATTTAATCCAAAATTTAATTACATCATTTAATAGTCTACTCATTTAGCTATTCTCTTTGTGTCTAAATAGTTGAGATTACCAAACTAAAATAAAAACATTAACGAAACTTCTTATAACTTTACTAAACTTTTGATGTAACACTATATTTGGATTAAGGGAAGGGGAATGAAGAAAGGAAAATAAAGGAAAGTAGTGGAAATAGAAAAACTTTTCCTTTATTTGGATAAATTTTTAATTTAAAGGAAATGAAAGAAATGAAAATCTAATAATCTTTAGTTTACGAGGAAAAGCTAATGAAAGGAAAGTTAAAAAATTTTTATTTTTATGAACATATTATTATATCTATATTTTTATTATGACATTGATTTGATTATATAACTGACATCTTCTATAAAGATAATTTCTTTTTATGAGTATTTTATGTAATATCATAGTTTATAAATATTTTATAATTTTTTAAATTTTAACAACAAAACAAGTTAAATTATTATTAGAATAAATTAAAATGTTAAATTAAACATAAAATTAATAGTAAATCAATAATTAACTAATATATCTTATCGTATTAAATATGTTTAATTTTGTTTAGAAAGATTTGTTTATACAAATTAGATATAAAAATATATTTATATATTATATGTTACTTTATTAAAAAAATTATAATTAAAAAAATATTATAATAAATTATTTTTTATATTTATTTAAATAATAATTATTAATTTTTTTAATTTTTTTATTAATTTTAACTATTTAAACAAGAGATATATGCATTCTTAGTTGTTATAATTTTACTCAAAATTTAACGTGAGTATGAGTTTGAAGACAGCCGACATTTTAAGATACTTCAAAGTCCATTTGCAAGTCAACTTCGGCCCATTAAACTTACGCGTTCATCTAGAACTACGAACTTAGCCATGGTCAAATTTTTAAAATCTGATCCTCGTTTTATTTTTTTTTTTAACTTTTTTATTCACTCCAGCATTTTCCATTATTCTTTGTTTATTTCTTAGAAAACTTTGTTAGCTTATAATGTGAGAGCTGTAACAAGTGCAAGTGCATGTCTATCACTTTCTGAACTAAAAATCTCTCAATCTTGGTGTTTTCCTGGTGTGTTTCTTGCTTTACCATAACTTTCCTACTTTCGGTTTGGTGTCTTTGCACTGCTTAAGTACTGTACTCGACTTTCTTGTTTTTACTCTTCTGGGTATTGTTTTGATGCTTACATTTTCTGGAAACCTGTATCTTTTTTAGGTAAAGGCAAATGGTACTCAACTCTTTTGATGCGCTAAAATTGTTTATGATTTTCGCAAACGTTATATTTTTTTAGTTACAAAGTGAAAGTAAAAAGAAAGTTGCTGATTGTTTGTTCTCTATAAGGTACCATTTAATGAGAGTATCAAAGCTACTTTAATATCTGTTAAGATCTCATTAAAAAGAGAGGTTGCATTTTTTTTAATTTTAAAGTTTCCTCCTATATAGTTTCTTATTCTTAAGTATAAATCTGATCCTTTGTTTTATAAGTGGAATCCTACTTCTTTGTTTAATATTTTTACTGGCTCTTAGCAGGGGTTTTAATGGAAGCTAAAGACATGGCAGAGAAAATAAGCATTTCAGGAGGAGAAGTGGTGATCAATGTTTCCGGTGAAGAAAATCCGAAAGGGCCAAAAGGGTCTTCTCAAAAAGAAGCAGAGTCATTGGTCCCTAAGGAAAATGCTCAAGGTTCAACCAACAAAGCATCAACTGAATCTGGTGCTGTTACTGCTGGTTTGGCTAAACCAGTGCCAGTGCGCTGCCCGTCTTCGGGGACCACAAAATTTGGTCCAACTGCAAATAAGCCATCCAAAGTCCCAAGAACAGGTAGTGAGCCCCTTACTCGAAGAACGTCATTTGCGAAACCCAAGTCAAGATTTGGAGAACAATCTTATCTTCTTGAATCTGATCAGATGGAGGAGAAAACTTTTGCTAATCAGGAACAAGTTGGTGGTAATTCACCTTATAGACACTCCTTCAATAAGGCCTCGCCTAATAACAAGTCGGCGAGAAGTATCGTGACGGATTCTGCTGTGTCAAAAACGTTATCAATGACCTCTACAGGCCCAACTGGAGAAAATGAATACGAGGAGATAATTAAGAAAGTAAAACTGCATAAAGAAAAGCTTAGGGGAGTGAAACCTAAGGTTGTGATTGAGTGGGTCGTATTTTTGTTCCTCTTGGGGTGCTTAATAGCAAGCTTAACTGCAGATAAACTACAGAACACGCAATTTTGGGGTTTGCAAATTTGGAAATGGTGTGTACTTGTGATGGTTATATTCTGTGGTATGTTGGTTACTCGTTGGTTTATGCGTCTGGTTGTTTTCTTGATTGAGATTAACTTTCTGCTACAGAAGAAAGTGCTATATTTTGTTCATGGTTTGAAGAAGAGTGTTCAGGTGTTTATTTGGCTAAGTTTAGTTCTTGTTACTTGGGTTCTTTTGTTTCTTGGTGTTGAGAGATCAAAGACTGCCACAAAAATTCTCGATTATGTAACCTGGACACTAGCAAGCATTCTCATTGGAGCATTTTTGTGGTTGTTGAAGACTTTGTTGTTAAAGATATTGGCTTCCAATTTCCATATGGACAAATTCTTTGACAGAATACAAGAATCAGTCTTCTATCACTACGTACTTCGAACTCTTTCTGGACCTCCATTCGTGGAGATTGATGGGATTCGTAAATCACGAGCTCATTTGACTGTTAGCAACGCAAAAAAGGGTAAAGGAGCAAAAACCAAAAAATTGATTGACATGGAAAAGGTCCATAAATTAAAGCGAGAAAAAGTTTCATCTTGGCACATGAAGGTATTGGTAGATGCTATAGTGAATTCAGGGCTTTCCACAATCTCCTACACGTTAGATGAAAGTGCTTATGATGAAGCTGGTGAACAAGCAGATAAAGAAATTACTAATGAGGAGGAAGCACAGTATGTTGCTCATCAAATTTTCTCAAACGTTGCCCGACATGACAGTAATCACAATCGCCAGTGAGAAAGCAGCTTTTCATGATGCTTTTCTAGTGATGTTGTTTTTCCTGCCCACTTTTTTTTTTGTTTTTTTCTTTAACTAACCACATGCCCTTTATGATCAGTTGCATTGATGAGGATGACCTCTTAAGGTTCATGATTAAGGAGGAGGTGGATCTTGTGTTTCCATTGTTTGAAGGATCAAGCACTGGAAAAATTGACAGAAAAAGTTTCACAAACTGGGTGGTAAGAGCACGATATGAAACTTCAATAAATCTTGTCTATTTTTTAAATTTTTATTGCATTTTACAGTGGGGTGGAGGTTTCCTTGCACATAGCAAATATTGAGCACTTTAAGCAATGCAAGTATGTAACAATGAGTATAAGAAATTTCGATGCTATATTTGCTGGAAGCTCGTATGTAATAATGTGGTTCTCTGGCAGATTTTACTATTTAGATGCAGGAAGATAAGAAAGTTATACTTTTTGGCTGTAATAACTTAATAAAATTTTGACTACTTTTGACTACTTTTGACAACTACATGGAGCAAAGAAAATCCGGCTTCTCTAGTGCTTTTTGTGCTTTTGGTTTAGAATTGAAAGTCAAAAACTACTCCATTTCTGTAACAACACATCTTTGTAACGAAGTGCACAGTGTCCATATGACTTCATAGTTGTTATTTTTGATGAAATAAATTTGATCCATGCATAATATCCAGGTGTTGAGATGGAGAAAATTCTTTCTGTTGTGAAATGCACTCTGTCTCTACGATCTCATACTTTTGAGTTTTGATGGAATGAACTCAATCCTGACATTTTATCTTGCTGTCTTAAAAGTTAAACCTGATGAAGCAAAACCATCGGTAAAGGTAGAGATTCTCGATTAACATGCCTGTTTTTGTTGTTTCATACAGATAAAGGTTTACAAGGATCGAAAAACACTATCACATGCTTTGAATGACACCAAAACAGCTGTAAAGCAATTAAATAAGATAGTGGCAGTGATCCTGATTATTGTTTCTGTTATCATATGGCTTCTTTTGGTGGAAATTGCAACCACAAAAGTGCTATTGCTACTTTCATCGCAGCTTGTTGTGGCGGCTTTTATGTTTGGAAACACCTGCAAGACTATATTTGAAGCTATCATATTTGTATTTGTGATGCATCCATTTGATGTTGGTGATCATTGCGTGGTTGATGGTGTTCAGGTAACTGTTTAAAGGGCATGCTCCTATATATATGTCTTGAAAAAATTACTAACTGTGCTCTTCACTTGGTAACTGACAGTTGTTGGTCGAGGAGATGAATATTTTAACGACTGTTTTCCTGAAGCTTAACAATGAAAAGGTGTACTACCCAAATTCAGTTTTGGCTACCAAGCCCATCAGCAACTATTACAGAAGCCCAGATATGAGTGATGCTATAGAGTTCTCCATTGATTTTATGACACCGGCGAACACAATAGGCAGGCTGAAAGAAGAAATAAAGAAGTAAGTTATGTAGCTTTATCCTTCCCTTAATTCATGTAAGATTGGATTATGAGAAAATCAAGCATTGCTATAGTTTCAAGCATGTTTCCTTATGCTTTGGCATTTTAATTGGCCCAAGTAGTTATTAGAAGAATAAAATACTTTTGCCTAGTCTTGGCCTGTAGATCTTAATTCCCATCTCAGAGCTACATGTTCTCATAGATTGCTTGTTGCATTGGGCGGTGTTCTGGACAAAGGGTAAGCAATCTGATTCATTTACCAACATCCTTTCCTCTTTTAGCCTACAACTGCAATGACCTTCTGATACATCTATCTGTTTTAGTTGAAAGGAATTAGGAGAAGAAGCAGAGTCTCTGTAAGCATTTAACTCTGACAAGACAATATCTAGTTTGAACAGTCTTTTGAATTGTCATATTATCCTGCATCTTAAGTTTCCCGAAAAAGAATGCTTGCATATTCCTTAATGCCGCCAGACTATGAAAGTCCTGTCCATAGTAAATAATAAAGATAGAAGCATGTAATTTGATAGCTTTCTAGCCAAATAAACAATTCTTATTAATTTTTTTGTTGTATTTTGATCTCGATAGTTGAGTAGGATATTTATTATGTTTATGGAAATTAATTTTTGCATTCCAAATTCATTTTGGTCTATACAGTTTATATTCTTTGTGCTGTCATTTCTAACCAGGCATTTGGAGGCCAATACCCTGTGGTATCCTAACCACCTTGTGGTGGTTAAGGAGATTGAGAATGTCAATAAGTTAAAGATGGCTCTCTATTGTAATCATACAATGAACTTCCAGGACTTTAGAGAGAAGAACAGGCGTAGAACTGAACTGGTCCTTGAATTGAAGAGGATTTTTGAGGAGCTGGGTCTAAGGTACAATCTCCTTCCCCAGCATGTGAATCTCAACCAAGTCAATCAAGACAGGCCAGATGCAACATATGCGACCACCTAATCATTATTGCTTATTGCTCAAGAGTGTTTTATATGATAGGTAAGCATGCCCATTGTACTCTTTAACAAGCTTATGCAACTCTTAACAATCAACATTACCAATCCCTCTTTGAAATGTGTATACGAAGTTCTCATGGTATCTTTATTTCAACTAGGGATGGCAACACGCAGGTACGGTTATGGTAGTATGGCAAAGAATGGTAATGAAGCCCTTTTAGTTGCCGTAATCTAAATTGTATGAAGGAAAATGGTTACCGCACAAGGCAAGTTCCAGGTGGTAAATGTAAGTATTTATTTATTTAGTCCGGTCAGATTTTGGGATGTAAGCTTATAATTGTATATATGGAATTGAAGACTCAAGACCAATGCTATGTATCATTATAATTTGGTTCGAGTTTTGTATTCCTTATCAAGTTTTAAGCAAGACGAATGCTTTGACTTTTGCCATGTTTCAAAGTCTCTGATCCAATATTCATATGCTTATCGGGAAGAGTTCAGTCTCTGAAGCTAGTTTTCTCTATGAATTATGAAGTCTGACCATTGGGCCAAAAGGCCCGAAGCAGTAAATGACATATTTCTTGTTTGCATGAGTACTTTGCTCACAACCAAACTTGTTGATTAAAAAGAGTTGATAGCTTGCGACTGATTAACGAGGCTGGCACTTTCCTTGTCTCTATGAGTCTCACTAGGAAATCCATTCCATGTAACCTCAATCTAGTGGGATAACTTTATCCATTAAACCCAGGTGTACAATTTGCCACAATGGACAACACTAGAACGACATTTCAATCTGAAATCTTCCATTTCCTCCTCTCATTAATCATTTCATTCCCTCCATTTCTCCATCCAATATCTAAGCCATAATTTTGTTCATCTACCCACGCCAAGGTCCAAAACTTGTGCCAATTACGTTCTACAAAAAACAGGAAAATATCACCAAATGGCCTCCGTTTCAATGGCTATGCAGTTGACTTCTGCAACACAGAAAAGGGTTCACCAACCCAGCTATGAATCCTTCATCCAGCCTTTGCCTCTTGGGCCATCGAAATTTGTTTTCTCTACAAAGCCAAAGCCCAGAGCCAGGCTTCAAATGCAGGCCTCCTTCAAAGAAAAAGCAGTGACAGGTCTAGCTGCAGCCGCATTGACAGCTTCTATGGTTATACCTGATGTAGCAGAAGCAGCTGAGTCTGGTGTCTCCCCATCTCTCAAGAACTTTTTGCTTAGCATCGTAGCTGGTGGAGTCGTGCTTCTTGCGATTGTTGGAGCTGTTATTGGAGTTGCAAACTTTGATCCTTTCAAGCGAGCCTGAGGAGAATCTGAAAGTTGCCCTGTGAATTTCTTGCCGTTTATCCTCACAATATTGCTATTCTGATTATGTAGTTTATGTTAGTAATACAAATGTTCTAGGTATAAGCATGGGCATAAAACAATTGAAGTTGGAAACAAACAAACTTTCATTGCAGGTTGCAGCAGAGATAATGCATATCTAACTGTGAATGTCTCATAACAATCCAGGATCATATTCTGGTTGCACATGTCAACTTTTTAACCCCCATTATAAGAGAGAACGAAAAAAAGAAGATAGATTGATTCAAAGAAGAAAATTTCTAGAAATACATTCGGCATGGATTGACATTTTTGAGCTCAATTGTCAATTTTCAAACTAATAGGTTAGTAAGCTTGTGGTATACTATAATTCTGAAAGATGCCAACATTAATTTGTTGCGCCTGAAGCAATAATTACAACAATACAGAAGTAATAGACAACAATCAATAATCAAATACGCAGGAAAAATAAAGCACACCAAGATTTACGTGGAAAACCCTCCAGTGTAAAGGGAAAAAAAACCACGGGCCACCAGAAAAATCGTCACTATCAAATAATAGTTATACAAAGTTCTTCTCTAGCTAAAACTAGAGCTAATCAACAACTAGAGAAACAATTGGAGAAATCTCACCAAATAAGTGACTCAATAAATACACCATGGATTTGTTTCTAGAGAGCTTCAAACCCGATCTTCACCGTTCAGAATGTAGAACTCTGAATCATAAACCTCCTGACAAGGTTTCAACTCAATCGGACCATGGATCGACTTCCGTTCAACCAACTCTCCCTTCTTTTTTTTCTCTTTATGCTTTTCCTGGCTTTTCTTCTTTTTCTGTTTGGTTTTCGACACACACCTAAAACAACCCCACCTCTTTTTTATTAAGTAGCTAGGGCTCTGTGTAAAATAAAAGATCAAGGCTCATGGCTTTTACTTGGTCCAAAACCACTTACATGGGACTGAACCCCATTTTCCTAACAATCTTCCCCTCTAGCCCCATTAGGAGGAGATTCATCACCATAGCAGTTTCATTTGGAACTTACCTTGGCCAGGGAATTCATTCCGGCCAAGTTATTACAAAGCTCAAGCTTTTCCCTGGGAAGTATCTTAGTCAACATATCTGCTACATTCTTATCAGTATGGACTTTCTTCAATAACATCTGCTGTTCTTCAATCACTGAATGTAACCAATGATATCTAACATCAATGTGCTTTGTTCTAGCATGGTACATGGTATTCTTACTCAAATCTAAAGCATTATGGCTATCACAAAATACCATATACTCTTTCTGATTCAACCCCAATTCAAGAAGAAAACGTTTCATCCAAAGTATTTCTTTACATGCTTCGGTTGCTGCAATATACTCAACCTCTGTAGTTGACAAAGCAACACACTTCTGCAACTTAGATTGCCAAGATACAGCTCCTCCTGCAAAAGTGAACAAATACCGTGAAGTAGATTTCCTACCATCATGATCGTCTGCCATGTCAGCATCAGTAAACCCTTCTAGAACTGGTTGTGAAACTCTATAAGTCAAGCACATTTTTGAGGTACCCCTCAAATATCTAAAAATTCATTTCACTACTTCCCAGTGAACCTTTCCTGGATTAGAAAGAAATCTGCTCACTATACCAACTGCATGAGCAATGTCAAGCCTTGTACAAACCATAAGATATATTAAAGAACCGACTGCAGAAGAATAAGGAATACTAGACATAGCTAGTTGCTTTTCCTTAGACACTGGACAAGATTTCTTACTTAGATGAAAATTGTTGGCAAGTGAACTGCTAACTGATTTAGCATGTTGCATGTTGAATCTACCAAGCACTCGTTCAACATACTTTTCCTGTGACAACCACAGCTTTTCAGCTCTCATATCCCGGATAATGTCCATACCAAAAATCTGCTTTGCTGGACCTAAATTCTTCATATCAAAAGACTTAGACAATTGTTCTTTCAACCTGCAAACCATACTAGCATCTTGTCCTACAATCAACATATCATCAACATATAATAATAGGATAATGAAGTTACCATTAGAAAATTGTTTAACATACACACAAGAATCCGTTGCTGTTCTTTTATAGCTATGACTCACCATAAAAGAATCAAACTTTTTGTACCACTGTCGCAGAGCTTGTTTCAAGCCATACAAGCTTTTCTTCAATTTGTAAACTAAATGCTCTTTCCCTTTCACTTCAAAACCCTCAGGCTGATTCATATAAATGTCCTCCTACAAATCACCATGCAAAAATACAGTTTTAACATCAAGTTGCTCAAGTTCAAGATTCAAACTAGCAGCCAATCCCAGTATCACTCAAATAGAACTCATCTTTACAACTGGAGCAAAAATCTTATCAAAATCGATGCCTGGTTTCTGAGAAAAACCTTTTACTATCAATCGAGCTTTGTACCTCATTAGTTTGTCACCATCTTTTTTCAACTTTAACACCCATTTATTCTTTAATGGCCTCTTCCCTGTTGGAAGTTTAACAAGATCATAAGTACCATTCTTTCGCAATGACTCTATCTCTTTTTTCATTGCTTTTAACCAATGCTCTCTATCTGGAGTAGTCTGCACATCTTGAAAGTTTTCTGATTCCCCTTCACTGATAACTAAAATAAAATATGAACTTGGATACCTGGTAGATGGTCTGCGCTCTCTAGTAGATCTTTTGGGCTGAGACTTTACATCACTTGATGCCGAAGGTAGTTCCCCCTGCTCAACACTCTCAGGTAGAGATGATTGCTCCCCCTGCTCAAAACTAATAGCATCTGGCTCATCACCAACTGTGACTGGCTCATTCATATCTCCAAGTTTTGTTTTTTGCTCATTTTCACCATCTGTGGCTCTTTCCTGTGGAATCCCTGTTGGTGTTGAAACATCACACTCAACAGTAACTCGTGTAGTCTTCTCATTTTTCTCAAGGTCTGCTATGGTTTCTTTTTCATGAAAGACCACATCTCTGCTTCTGACTGTCTTTCTCTTTACTGGATGCCATACCCTGTAATCAAATTCTTTATCACCATATCCTACAAACACACATTGTGTGGCTTTACTGTCAAGCTTTGATCTTTACTCTTTCGGCACATGCATGAATGCTTTACACCCAAAAACTTTCAAATGAAAGTATGAAGTATCTTTTTCTGTTCACACTCTTTCTGGAATGTCAAAGCCCAAAGGAACTGATGGTGACCTGTTAAGTAAATAACAAGCTGTGTTGACTGCTTCACCTCATAATGGCTTTAGTAATTTTTCCATCCTCAACATACATCTGACTTTTTCCACAATGGTGCGATTCATTCTTTCAGCTATACCATTATGCTGCGGTGTTTCAGGTTCTGTCATTTCATGTCTGATCTCATACTTTGAGCAATACTCTTCAAAGCCTTTAGATGTGTATTCTCCACCATTATCAGTTTGAATACACTTCAAGGGTAACCCTGTCATCCTTTCAACCATGGCATGAAATTTTTGAAAATACTGTAGTACCTGACTTTTGTATTTCAACATATACACCCAAGTCTTACGTGAAGCATCATCAATAAAAGTAATAAAATATCTGCTACCACCTAATGACTCAACCTCAATGGGATCACATACGTCAGAATAAATTAATTTCAATCTATTTTTTTCTCTGAGAACTTTTACGAAAAGAAACTCTATGATGCTTACCAAACAAATAATAATCACATGAATCGAGAGACATACCTTTGGTCAAGAGAATGAGAGACTGCCTTGCCAAAACCTGTAACCCTTTTTCACTCATGTTTGCCAGACTCCTGTGTCACAAGTTTGCTGAAGCATCGTTTTTAACGGTATTTACCTGGTTACCGTTCAATTGCATCCATGTTTTATACATTGTGCAGCATAGTTTTCCCCTTATAACTACCATAGATCCTTTGAGAAGCTTTCACTGTCTATTCTTTTGTCAGTTTTCATATCCCTCCTTATCAAAGACATTAATAGCAAGCAAGTTTATTCTCATATCTGAAATGTGTCTGACATCCCTCAAAGTCATCATGCAGCCTGTACTAGTTTGTACAACAATATCACCAATCCCAACAATCTGTGACACACTCTTGTTTCCCATCTTGGTACAACCAAAGTCTCTTGCTTTGTAAGTTGTAAACAACTCTCTCGTAGGAAACAATGATATGTCGCTCCTGTGTCAACTATCCACTCAATGTCGGGATCACTAACATGATTACAATCACCATGTGTACAAATCAAAGTAACTGAATCACTATCTGAATTCACTGCTGCAACATTGCCATCATCTGAACTCTTACCTTTCTCATCTTTTCTTTCTTGCTTCAAGATTTTACAATTTCATTTTATATGACCTACCTTACCACAATAAAAACACTTCACTTTACCTCTAAACTTGGATCTAGGTTTAGACTTACCATGGCCTTTTGGGTCCTGACCTCTGTCGATGTTTTTACCCTTATTCTTTGTAACCAGAGCTTGATTCCCAAGGTCTATATCTTTTCACCTTACTTCTTCATTAAGTATACTATCTTTTTCCATCTCCAATGTCACCTTATAATCAGGAGCTGAATTAAGAACAGTCATAACTAGAGTATTCCAGCTGTCTCGCAATGAACCTAAAAGAAATAATACCTTCATTTCATCATCCATTTTAAGCTCCATAGTAGTCATCCGATTAAATATATCTTGAAAATCACTCAAGTGCTTTGTAACAGATCGTTCATCCCTGTACTATAAAGTTGTAAGCTTTTTAACAAGCATAACTTTATTCATACCTATTTTTCTCTCATACAATGCTACCAATTTTTTTCAAACAATGTGAGCATCTGACTCCTGCGCTACATGATGGAACACGCTGATATCAACCCATTTTTTTTTATTGTAGCCAGCGTCTTTCTACCTAGCTTATTTCAGCTTTCATCTTTCATATCTACTGGAATCAGGAGCTGAATTAAGAACAGTCACAACTAAAGTATTCCAGCTGTCTCACAATGAACCCAAAAGAAATAATACCTTCATTTCATCATCTATTTTAAGCTCTATAGTAGTCATCCGATTAAATATATCTTGAAAATC